GATCAGTATCATGCGGGGGAGTGATGCTCGTGAACAGGTATTCCTCTCGATAAGAGAAGTAGGTGATGAACCTCCTTAAAAAAAAATACCGAGAAATAGGACAAAAAGAAGAATAAAATAAGGAAAAAAAACTGAATTGGGAATTATAGTGCACCCAGAAATAGGACAAGAAGAAGAAGAAAAAAAAACTGAATTGGGAATTATCGTGCACCCATATAATTCTTTGTGTTGGAAGTTAAAATGAAGAACATAATAATAACAAAAACAAAAAAGGCTTGACAGAAAACGACAAAAATAAACAGAAAACGAGAGACAGAAAATGGGAATAATCGTGACCTTTTATTACCTCTTGCGTTAAAAAAATTATAGACAAAAATGAAAACAAAACAACGTTACAGATGCAATGATATATCTATATACTTATTATTCTAAGTATAGAAACCAAGGCATTCATATCCAGTATACGAAAATGGATTAATGATGTTTGTAAAAAGAAAAAGAAGTAATCCGCTTCAAGTACCTCTCATGGGGAACATATCAATTAGGAAAATTAGGGCATTTAAACTCTTATTCGAGATACGGTTTAAGAGTTTCTATCTGATATACTAAATTTTGAATGTATTATTGTGATATATTTCAGATGTATTTATTTTTTACGTTATTGTGTTAAATAATAAGCAGTTACAGGGTAAGTGTGAGGATAAGTCAAAAGCTAGCGGATTTTGTATGAACTAGTAGGGAAAGAAAGTTAACGTTTGAAGTTAGTAAAACTCTTTAGCTACATTAATTAATCAAACTAGCGGATTCTGTACGAATTCGTAGGGAAATAGAATGTCAATTGAAGTTAGTAAAACTTTTCAGCTAAATTAATTAATCAAACTAGCGGATTTTTATATGAATTAGTTGGAAAATAAAGTTGCAGTTTGGAGTTTGTAAAACACTGGAGCTATATTAATGACATGCGAATAATACCATGTCGGGAAAGAAGAATAACCTTATAAGGCAGAGTCTCATCTCTTGCTCATCTATTCACCTCTGTCATCTCCTCATCTCCCTCCTTCTCCGTCCCCCTACCCACATTTCTATCCCCTCCCCGTCTCCCTTTCGCCCACCATCTCCCTATCCTCCTCCTCCCTCACCCTATCCTGGTCTTCTTACCAACAGGTGAGAAGAGTGACTGGATATGACACGGGGGGGGGGGGGTCGGATATTTATAGACGGGGATGCCAAAAGATGGGGTGAGAAGGGGAGTTTCATAAAGTATTTTTCATTTCATGTATACATATATATAGCTTTCTCATTCCCTACGTTTCGAAGTCTCACTCTCTGGGTTTGTCTCTCTCTCTCTCTCTCTCACTCTCTCTCCTCTCTCTCCTCTCTCTCTCTCTCTCTCTCTCTCTCTCTCTCTCGATTTTTATTGAATATCATATACCAGTAGCGAGGAACAAGGAGTTACTACTTGCATTCGTTAAGTCGAAGTTTAACCACGTCCTTCCATATCCTGGTCTATTTACCAACAGGTGAGAAGCGTGACATGATATGACATGAGGGGCCTCGGATATTTTTCGATGGGGATGCCAAAAGATGGAAGCGAGAAGCTTCATTGGGTATTTTTTATTTCATACACATTTTTCTCTTTCTCATTACCTTCATTTCGAAGTCTCTATCTGTCTGTCTTTCTCTCTGTCTCTCTCTCTCTCTCTCTCTCTCTCTCTCTCTCTCTCTCTCTCATCTCTCTCTCTCTCTCTCTCTCTCTCTCTCTCTCTCTCTCTCTCTCTCTCTCTCTCTCTCCCTCTCTCTCTCCTTTCTCCCCTTTTCTCCCTTTCTCCCTTTCTCCTTTCTCCCTTCCTCTCTCTCTCTATCTCTATCTATCTTCTCTCCTCGGTAAATTCTGGTGGTTGTTGATTATCCGAATGATCGACGTTCCATGTTAAAAATCTTCTCCCATCAACTCTTTCTCATTTATACTAAATATCACGAACCAATATCGAGAAACAAAGATTTATTACTCGTATTCGTTTAGGTAGAAGCCTGACCGAGAGTGAACGAACTACAAGGTTTCCCTGCTGACAATTAGTTCCAAGACGCGAGCACCCGCCAGCCAATGTAAACAAGAACTGAAAGCACGTGGAACAAAGAGCAACATTGCGCTTTTTTCAGTCATGCAACGCCACTGAATGCATTTAACCGCCGTGTGTACAAGGTCGTCACGCAACAGAGGGGGTTTTAAGAGAGGTAAAAAGCCTCTTTTGAGAAATGTCAGAGAGGTCTGGGTTACGAAATATCTGTTTTTTTTTCGCCTTAAGGTCCGTGAAAGCTACAAATGTCAATGACCTTTTTATCTTTGCTTCTTTCTTTCTTTCCTTCTCGGTTACGCTTTGTTTACATCGCCCGTCGCCAAAAGCAAGCCGACATAATTGATCAGCTGATGGCTTTGCAACATTGCCAAAGAATCGTTCGTCTCAGGCCTCACTCTGTCACACTGCCAGGTCTATTTTCC